TGCAGCTGCTAACAGCTAGATGGACATGAGCGACAGACACATGGGAACACCATCACCCCTCCAAGCAGGTAACTTCAGCGGTCAAGAGCATTCGGCCTCGGATCTTCGGGTAAACGTCCTCCAAAGAGGATTTTGGGATACACAACAACACGGAGTTGCTGAGCAGAGGCTAATAGCTGACTTTGGTACCCATGAGGACAGCCTCAACCACGACCTTGGGTTCATGTTGCACTACAAGTTACCCCATCATACTGTACACTCACACACACATATACTCACACACACACACACACACTCAATCACTCACTCTCTCACCCCAAACCCCTCTCTCTCTCACACAAACACACACACACACATAAATTTACGAAGTGAATTTGCATTTGCAGATTTGTATTTGCAGATACATTCTATTTGGTTCAAAAAGCACACAATCTGTAGACACAGTCAGTGAGTGGGGCATTTTATATATTCCTGCTTCGGAAATAAAACTAGTCTGACTCCATATTCAAACACGGACAGATCCTAAACAAGGCCTCACACCTAAATGACTGACCTGAGATGCCACCTCTTGTATACACTGATAAAAGCTTTAGTTATCTTGAGGCAGTGACTTGAAAGAAATTCGGGGATTTGCATTTTAATCAATGAAAACCTGCACCTCCTTTCTAACTGATTAAAAATATAACAGGAGGGAGTCAGCCAGCCATTTTAGGTTTATTTAATACATTCGCATCACTTGTATGATCCTTCGATCTTTTACTTATAAATTCTGTCTTGATACCTCCTCTCTCACTACACCTGAGGAAGGAGCAATACTCCGAAAGGTAGTGTTTTCAAATAAACCTGTTGGACTATAACCTGGGTGTCATTTGATTTTTGACCTTGCCCAACCCAGTTCAACACTGGCACCCCCACATCCAAGCAGGCAGGTAAGGACAGCAGATGTTAACATGTCCCCTCACCAAAAGACGAATGGTTAGATCCTGGATGCTAATGGCAAGAAACTTCACCCACTTTGACCCAAACCTGTCCATCATCTGAATCAGAGGTGGTGGAATAGTGGTAATACATTTGACTAGTCACTCAGAACCACAGGTTAATGTTCTATAGTCATGAGCTTGAATCCCACATTGGCAGACAGTGATATCTGAATTCAATAAGAAGCTGGATAAAAGTGTTGTAAAACAAAACATCTGGGTCACTAATGTTCCTAGGGAAGGAAATCTGCCATCCTTACCTGGTCTGTTCATCATATGAGTCCAAACCCAGAACAATGTGATTGAAAATGAGGGATGGGCAATACATGTTGGCCTAGCCGACGATGCCCATATACCATAATTAATAAATTTATTTAATATGCTAATATCCCACAACAGCATTTGCGCAGATAGTTTATTTTTTGTTAAGAAAGAAATTAAGCTGAATCCCGCATGCTTTGAGAGAAATATCTAGCAAGACCTCAGTTATTCAGAGACTCCTGCATGACAGATGCTTTGGCAAGAACATTATGGAAGGTCTTTGTAGGAACTCTTTGGCTGCCCAGAGCTTTCAACACAATTAAACTGACAATAAACAGAGACGACCCTGGGCACATTTTGTAATGGTCTGTGCAAACACTGCAGCTGCCGGCAATAAATGCTGCAATGAAAATCTGCAAAAATTTCCAAGCTATTTGCCAGGTGCATTAAAGGAAGAATGGACAGCTCTCAGTATCTGTCACATGAATTGGGAACAGCTGAAGATCCCAGAGTCTTAAACTATAGCAGACACTTGGCACTTGCTAGGATCTCAAGCACTACATGCTGGAGGACGCATATGCTGTTTTCTTTATAACCCACCTTCAGTGAAAAGTCTTTAGCGAACCTAGGAAAATTATTCCTCACTAACTCAGGGAGTTCAACTTTCAATACTTGGCACTACTAAAAGAGATAAAGGTATTTGTTAGGAGTCCAAAAGAAAAGCTCAGTTCTCAAGTTGTAAATCTAAAAGATAGGCCAAACTAATTTCTATTGCAAAAAACCAAATGAAGGTTCTGAAGAAGGGTCACTGGACTCGAAACATTAACCCTGCTTTCTTTCCACAGATGCTGCAAGACCTGCCGGGTTTTTCCAGCAATTTCTGTGTTTATTTCTAATTTCTACAGCACCTATCACAGTCTCAGAATGTCTCAAATCACTTTACAGGCAATTAATACTTTTGAAGTGTAGTCTCTAAAGTAGGTAAGGTAGCAACCAAGTTTTACACACGGTTCAATGAACAGAAGACTGACTGAGAGTGATCAGATCCCCTGCTTTTGTGACATTGGTCGAGAGATAAATACTGACCAGAAGTACGCTGGGGAAAATGTTTCTTCATTCCATAACTTATCTACTTTAAAACAATGTGAAGGGATCGTTTAAGTCCATCTGAAGTAATGCGTCACTTGAAACAGAGTTCTCCCGCAATACTGCAGTGCAGTGTCTGACCAGCTTTTGCACTTTTCTGAAACTTAAAATGGCCTTTAAAACCTGCCTCTTTAAAGTCAGCAAACAAAGTGGCAAATGGAATGTGGGTGGCGAGGATTCCTGGAACACAACAGCAGAGTAGGTGCCAGTTTTCCAGTTCCAGACATGCAACCTTGACATCAGCAACGCCAACCTCCTTTGCTGGTGCAGCAGCAGAAGATGCACAATGGTTTATATAAAGGCACTGTTTTGTGCAACTTGAATCCACAGTCTCCATCTGACTGGCAGCAGACTATGCCAACAATCAGCCATGGCAAGCACCATGTTAATTTCTTTCTGGTTAAGCCTTCTACTTAATTCAATTTTCAAGCTGCTGTTCATTCTAATGAGAATATCATTCCCTAATTCCTGAAAGTGAAAAAGGGATTTTGCAAAATGATAAACATGAGATCAGTATCTGGTTTGTGATTCTGGTTAGTCTGAATTAAAGTTATAAGTTTGAATGTGATGAGATTGGTGCTTTATTTCTGAAATTGAGAAGCTTGACATCACCTTAGTTATCCCTAATCAAGTATCATATATATTGTTTTTAACTACAGTGGTATTCTGAAACATAGCACCCAAAAGTATTACAAAGTATTTATGGTACAGAAATGCCCAAAAGATCTACCCCTTCTATTCCTACACCCTCCTATCTATTCATCTTCCTTTTGAAGGCATTTTCCAGAAAGGTCCACATTTCTAACCACTCTCACAGGAACATAGGGACTGGAGCAGGGCATTGCATCCCTTGAGCCTCTTTTGCCATTCAACGAGATCATAGCTGATTTGAGTCTCAACTCTATTTACTCTTCTTTGCTCCATTTCCCTTAATATCTATGGCCAAAAGAACTCTATTGGTGTCAGATCTAAAATTAACCATGGATCTAGAGTCAGCTGACAATTCTAGACGAGTTCCAAACAAATCACTCTTTATGTGGCAAAGCATTTGCTAATATCATTCTTTAATATTTTGTTTGTAACTTTTTAATTACGTCCCCATGTGCTACATTCCCCAACCAATGTAAATATTTTCTCACTGCATCCTATTTGTCCCCCTTAATATCTTGAAAAGTTCAATTAAGTCATTTCTTAACCGTCTAAATTAAAAAAACTCCCTCAGTTTCTCCAGAATTCTCTACTGGATATGGGAAGAAGGCGTGATGATAGGTCAGACGCAAGAGGCAGGGAGTTGCTCTCAGTGGTCACACATTGCTTGGTATTCATTTCCTCAATAAGGCATTCACTGTCTTTGATCAAGAGCCTCCCGGACCAGAAGTAACAAGCTGCCTGCAGGGTAGCAGCTGTTGTAGGCGCCGCTTGCCCAGCTGTGGTTGGATCAATCCTGAGGGCTGTGGGCTGAAGCCCTCAAGTCATCCTTAATTGGCCATTTAAGGCTGTCAACTGGTAGTAGGACAAGGTGGTCAACTATGAGTCATTCTGCCCAGCAATCAGGGAGGTGATGTCCTAGTGGCATTGTCGCTGGACTGTTAATACAGAGACCCAGATAATGTTCTGGGGACCCAGGTTCGAATCCCACCATGGGAGATGGTGGAATTTGAATTCAATAAATATCTGGAATTAAGAATCTAATAATGGCCATGAATCCATTGTCGATTGTCGGAAAAACCCATCTGGTTCACTAATGTCCTTCAGGGAAGGAAACTGCCATCCTCATCTGGTCTGGCCTACTCCAGACCCACAGCAAGGTGGTTGACTTTTAAGTGCCCTCTGGGCAATCAGGGATGGGCAATAAATGCTGTATAGCCAGCGATGCCCTCATCCCGTGAATGAATAAAATGGTGGCTCAATGGTTAGCACTGCTGCCTCACAGAGCCAGGAACCCGGATTCAATTTCAATCTTGAGCACATGTCCGGAGTTTGCACATTCTCACCATGTCTGCGTGGATTTCTTCCAGGTGCTCTGGTTTCCTGCCACAGTCCAAAGATGTGCAGGGTTAGTGGATTGGCTATATAAATTGCCCAGGGATGTGCAGGCTAGGTGGATTAGCCATGGGGAAATGCAGGGTTACAGGGATAGGGTATGGGGGTGGGTCTGGGTGCGGACCCAATGGCCGAATAGCCTGCTTCCATACTGTAGGGATCCTATGATTTTAGAAACAATTCTGGCAAAGGTGAGAAATCAGCAGGGTTTGGGTGCAATACCATCCTGTCTAATGAAATGCTCATCCCACCTCCAATCTTAACATCACTAGGGGCAAAAGATTCCACCCACTGTACTGAAGATTGGCAACGCATTGCTGCTTTAGACTTCCTTTAGAATTCATAACACTCTTGACCAAACTGTGTCCGCAGATATTAAGCAAGGTCATCACTCCAACTGCTGGTATTACCCTCCCACTGTGTGGCATCTGCTGCACAACTACTGCAGCATCTTAATCTGTGGTTGGTTAATCTCCATGAAATATCAAACACATGTCAAAAGAAATGCAACCTCAGAGCCCTCTTCTGATCAGGCAACAGTATAGACAGATTTCCATTAATCTCTGTACATACGATCAAGTCCTGTGAAGCTGAACATTCCAATTTGCTGGGTGAGATGGTCCCAAGTGCCTGGGGTTCCCAGTTTCTGCAGCTTCTCTTTCAACTGTGCTCTCATTAGTAAAACACGGTCAGCCATGGTCTTCACGTTACCTTTCCTGGGGAAGGGATGGTGGGGAGAAGAGATAGCAGATAAAGAATATTAATAAAGTAATTTACTACAATGGATCAGGTGCCTGATGTGATAACAAACCCTTGCTCAGCAGAGTTAGTTGACTTCAATTATGGTGGACAGAAGTGCTGACAATTAATGTTCATATCCTACATTAAAGGGTTTCGACGCTACTTTCAGCTCATGCACTTCCAGTGAAATGCAGCAGTGAGCATTAGCATGAACTGTGCTTCACTTAATACATACCTGTAAAATCACCACAATTTAAGCTGGTAAACAGGATTACAAATCTTCCTAGGTCATTGTGTAGCTGTGGAAATGCACACATAGCTGTAATAAGGGACACAGAAGGGTAACTAGTTTGGAAGGGAAGTCTACAAGTCCTGTTTGTGGAAATGATGGAACACGGAGAGGGAAGCAACAATGGTCTGCAATTAATGCAAAAATTTATTCAAGCACTTGCCTCAAAATCAACTTAAGTATTGAGAATACAAAAGGACCTGGCGGAGAATCAGAGGAAACAGCAAAAGCAAAAACAAAGTATGGCATAAATATACAACTGAGTAGAGGATGATATATTTTAAAAAACACCTGGTAAAAATCTGGATTGTTGTAAACAAGATTAAGCTAAGCTGCTGCACTGGCACTGATAAATGCTAATCAGAATGCATCATATAAGCCACCACAATCAAAAACACCAAGGCTAAGTACATGACAGCTCACATCATAATAGGAAGGGAAGCAAAACTGAAACCAGCAAAAATAGGTCCAACCATTCTGGTTCCTTAAGTCTCGTGTTGTGTACTTTTTAAAAAGGCCAAATTTGCTTTCAATTAGGGAGGACAAAGTAGTACAGCTGGAAGCTCTGTACTGATAGTTCAGACATCGTGCAATAAGGACTTATCAGAGTTCAATATATAGTGTGGAAAGGGCAAGCTCTTTCATGATATGCAGTTAAAAAATGCTCCAATTCTGGTCTTTCTCACATTTCATTTTTATCATTCCACCATTGGTAATTGTGCCTTCAGATGTCCAGTACCTAAACTTTTAGAGGCGACAGTTCGGTGGTATTATTGCTGGACTCTTGATACAGAGACCCCGGTAATGTTCAGGGGACCTGGATTCGATTCCTGCAATGGCAGATGGTGGAATTTGAATTCAATAAAAATCTAGAATTAAGAGTTTAATGATGATCATGAAACCATTGCTGATTGTCAGAAAAACCTATCTGGTTCACCATGTCCTTTAGGGAAGGAAGCTGCCATCCCTACCTGGGCTGGCCTATATGTGACTTCAGACCCACAGCAATGAGGTTGACTCTTAACTGCCATTAGGAATGGGCAATGATGCCCTCATCCCCTGAATGAATTTAAGAGGTTCATCTTCTACAATATGGAGACCATAGAGCTATCCAAAATACTCTAAATATGATCTAATGAGCAAGGAGGTGATGCGGCACTTGTAAAAGGCATTTGTCCTCTTGAATTCTCAACGGAACAAAGCTCACCCACACCTCCAACCAGTTCATTCCAGACCCAGACCGCTCATGTGCAAAAGCCACAGTACAGTGTACAGTTATGTGCACAACACTACAGGAAGATGTCAATGCATTGGAGACAGTACAGAAGAGATTTACAAGAATTGTTCCATTGTTGAGACATTCAGTTATGAGGATAGGATGGAGAAGGTGGGACTTGAAGAGATTCCCTGGAGGTTCCAACAGGCGATCTGATAGAAGTGTCTAACATGTGGCTGGGGGTAGGGGGAAATGACAATATATTTCCAAAGCAAAATGGTGAATGGCTTAGAGGAGAACTCGCAGTTGATGATAGCTACTGCTCTTGCTCTTCCAGATGGTAGTGGCTATGAATTTGGAAGGTGCTGTCTAAACAGCCTTGATTATATTTGCAGTTCAACCTATAGAAGGTCTACTCTACTCTCGAGTATTGGTAGTGAAGAGAGAGAATATTTGAGGATGTGCTTTGTCCTGGATGCTGTCACGTTTTTATAGTGTTGTAGGAGCTGCACTCATATAGGCAAGTGGGGAGCATTCCAGCACACTCCTGAATTGTGCATTGTAGATAACAGGCAGGCTTTGGGGAGTCAGGAGGTGTATTACCTGCAACAGGATTTCTAATCTCTGTTCTGCTCTTGTAGCCACAGTATTTATGTGGCTAGTCCACTTGAGTTTCTCGTCAATGGTATTCCCCCAGAATGCTGATAGTGGTACTGGTACCACTGAATAGCAAAGAGAAATGGTTAGTCTCTCTCTTGTTGGAAATGGTGTGCCATGAATGTTACTTGCTATTTTCAGCCCAAACGTGGATATTGTCTACAAGTCTTGCTACACTTGGACATGCACTGCTTCAGGATCTCACGAGTGACAAACGGTACTGATCACTGCACCAAGATCAGTAAACATCCTCACTTCTGAGCTTATAATGGAGACATGATTCATGAAGCAGCTGAAGATGGTTGGACCAAAGACACTACCTTAAGAAACCGCTGCAGAAATGTTCTCAATGGACATGATTGGACGTCCAATAACCACAATCATTTTCCTTTGTGCTGGATCTCCCTGCATTCCCAGGGATTCTAAATTTACTAAGTTTCCTTTATGCCACTTTTGATGTCAACAGCAGTCAGTTCGTTGCTCAGTACATGGAGTATAGGAGTTAGGACATCATGTTGCGGCTGTAACAGACATTGGTGAAGCCACTTTTAGAATACTGCATTCAATTCTGGTCTCCCTGCTATAGGAAAGACATTGTTAAACTTGAAGGGGTTCAGGAAAGATTTACAAGGACGTTGCCAGGTTTGGAATGCTTGAGCTATTGGAAGAAGCTGAATAGGCTGATGCTTTCGTCCCTGGAGCATCAGAGGCTAAGGGCTGGCCTTAAAGAGATGTATAAAATCATGAGGGGCATGGACAAGGTGAATAGTCAAGGTCTTTCTCCCAGGGTAGGGGAGTCCAAAATTAGAGGGCATAGGTTTAAGGTGAGGGGGGAAAGATTTAAAAGGGACCAGAGGGGCAACTTTTTCATGCAGAGGGTGGTGTGTGTATGGAACGAGCTGCCAGAGGAGGTGCAGGAGGCAGATAAAATCACAACATTTAATAGGCATCTGGATGGGTACATGAATAGGAAGGGTTCAGAAGGATATGGGCTGGACTGGCAAATAGTAGATTAGTTTAAGACATCTGCTCAGTGCAGACCAGTTTGACCAAAGGGTGTGTTTCCTCTATGACTTTCACTTCCGCTACGGAGTTCAGACTGTAGTGAGGTCAGCAGCCAAGTGGCCCTTTCAGAACTCAAACCGAGCATCAGTGGTCAGGTTATATAAGTGCTACCTAAAACGATGACGTCTTCCACCATTTCGCTGATGATCGAGAATGGACTGACAGGAAGGTAACTGGCTGTGTTATTGCCGGAATGCTGCCAAGGCCCATTGCCTTTGCAGTATCCAATGCCTTCAGCTATTTGCTGATATCACCTGGAGTGAATAGAATTGACTAAAGACTGGCATTGTGATGTTGGAAACCTTTGGAAGGAAGCCTAGTTGGATCATTTGCTCAGAATCTCTGGCTGAAGATGGTTACAGATGCTTTAGCCTTATCTTTTGCACTGATGTGCTGGGCTCACCCATCATTGTGCCCTGGGATTTTTATGAAGCTTCCTGCTGCAACAAGTTGTTTAATTGTCTAACTCCATTCAAGACTGGATACAGCAGAACTGCAGAACTTAAGTCCAATCTGTTGGCTGTGGAATGTCTTATTTGCATGTATCACTTGTTGTTAATACTATTTGGCATGTGTTATCCAGCATTGAAACTTCACCAGGTTGACCCATTTCACTTATAGGTATGCCTAATGCTGCTCCTGGCATGTCCTCCTGCACTCTTTCATTGAACCAGGTACTGTCAGACCTGGTCAGTATTTAAAGCATATTCTGCTTTCAGTTTAGAATTCCCTGATTTGATTTGGTTATGCAAAGTTCATTTAAAAATTGAACATTCTACTCTGCATCTCACTGCGCATTTAGATCTGTTGCAAAATTGTTCTACGAATGAAGGGTTTGGTAACCACTTCCACTATGGGTATGGTTTATAGTCCATTACTCCTGTCAGTCAACAGAAGTTCAAAATTTTGGAATTACTTTTGGGTGTAAAATGTGTTTTTTGTTTCAAAACAGCTGATGCATACTTTTTTTGCTTAAGAAGGATTAAGAATCGCTATTACATAATGTATCTTTAAATCATTTGTCAAATCAGCAACCTCTTACCATTCAGCTAAGAGCTGTGGGTTACTCAGGGTCCTGGTTACAACTAGAGCCCCGTGAGCTGGCGGATTTGACCAAATAGTCCGGGCTATCTTCTCCATTTGAGAGCGAATCCTTGTCACATTGTCAGTGTCCTTGGCCACAATGCACAGGTTCCCAATTCGTTCATCTAAAAACAAGGGACAAGGAAAAGGAAAAGAAACGCATAATTCTCTTAACACTGCACTACGAGTTCCTAGTGTCCAAGGCAAATTTATCAGAAATTAAAGTATCATTTTTGCAGAAGCTTTTCCTCATTGGTAGCTCAACATATCTCCAGGCCATTACAAATTACACAACACCACAGAGTCAAACAGCAAGCATGCGTAATGATATTGAAGATTCTTTTACGGGGATAAGCCAACACTAAATGTCTGAATTATCAAGTTGGCTCCAAGCATCCCCAGTAGGAGTACAAGGTCAGAAAATATAATGTTTCTGATTGAGCAGTCATTTAAACCCAACACTTGTTTTGAATTCTAAATCTTATAAAATGATGGAAATAGAAACTGTAATGCGGGACTTCCACAGTACAATTTCTTTTGATAATGGAATTATTCACGCTATTCACACAATTATTCACGTAATAATACAATTGTTGCAACTAACTTTTAAAACCTAGCAATGATTCTGACCTTGCCGACGATAATCATATCCTAAGAATGAACAAAAGAACCCTTTTTCAAAGGTGCAGAAATCCTAAAGCACTACAGAAGCATGAAAAAAGACGCCAAGTGAAAGGAAAGCGTAGTGTACGAATAAAAAAGTGATTGATCACAAGTATGACCTTTAAGAAAAATAGTGAGGTAGAGCGCAGTGGAGAAGAAAATCCCTGAGCATAAGACTGAAGTGTTGAAAGTACAACTAATTAAGGTTATGCAAAGAATTCTGGAGTCTGAAGAAGAGTGTTTGAGGGTAGGAGGAACACTTATATAGCTAGAGGAATTCACAGAGACAGAGAGGGCTGAAGTTACAAAAACATGATGAAAATTTTACATCCAAATTTGATGGACTTAGAATTGACATAATAAAGTTTAAAGAAAGGTAGAAGGTGATGGGGTGGTGGACAAGCAAGATTATGTAGAATTGAATCAAGGGCTGCAGAATTTTGAATGGGCAGATGGTAAATTGAGGATGTGCAACCAACTATGAGGAATGTAAGAGTCTGGAAGTAAGAAAAGTGCTTGGAATTTTAAAAAATCCCATCAGACTAATAAAGCATATCGAGAATGTGAAATTACTGGATCTTTACCACTACATGCAATCTTTTGATGTATAAAAAAATTTAGATTTAAAACGGCATCTGAACACATTCAATCCACTGAAATACCATGACAATTATTTGATTACTGATGGTCACCTCTCACTACTGGTTGATTTTGAGAAAAAAAAAGTATAATTCCTGTCGACTCAACCCCAAAATAAGTGCAAAAGAACTGAAAAGCATTTTTATTATTCTGCACAGACATAATGAGCTGTACAGCTGCCTTCAAATGAACAGGTATGCACCAGGGCAAGTTTGATTTCGGTGGCAAAAGGGTGAGTTTGGATTTTTTAGTCAACATTCAGGGGCTTACTTTTATACAAGGTTGACTGTTACTCCAGTATGACTATATCTGCCTTATTACTTATCCCTTAAAGCACAAATCATTTATTCTCAGATGACCTAGTTTTAAAATTTTATTTTATGTTAGGGTTAGAGTTAGGGTTCTCCTACACTTTATCCCTGGATAGTCCAGTTCTAAGGTTATGGTCTCTTATTTTGGACATTGCCATAAAAAAAATTATTTCTCTTCATTAATTATCTTAATCATCCCAATTGAGACACTCCCCAACCTTCTAAGAAAGAATACAAGCACAGTTAACTTTTAGTAATGTTGTTTGTATGCGTGTTTCTCAAATTGTTCCAAACTGGACTGCTGCTGCCGCCATCTTGAAAATGCCCCCTTTTCCCAACTTTATGTCTTCTATTAATTAACCAAACTTCTATCCATGCTAATATTCTACCCACAACACCATGGTTTCTTATCTTATTAAGTAGCCTTATGCGTAATACTTTATCCAATGCTTCCTTGAAAATTCAAATATTTTACCATCTACTATTCTGTCTCTTTACTTACATCCTCAAAAGAACTGTATTACATTTTAAAGCCATGTCTTCCCCTTCATGAAGCCATGCTGACTCTGCTTGATTACATCATGTATTTCCAATTTTTTTCTTCCTTTTTATTCATTTTTTGTGGGATGTGGGCATCACTGGCTGGCCAGCATTTATTGCCTGTCCCTAGTTGCCCTTGAGAAGGTGGTGGTGAGCTTTCTTGAACCGCTGCAGTTCACCTGCTGTGGGTTGATCCACGATGTCATTAGGGAGGGAATTCCAGGATTTTGACTAAGTGACTGTGGAGGAACAGCAATGTATTTCCAAGTCAGGATGGTGAGTGGCTTGGAGGGGACCTTGAAGGTTCCCATATATCTGCTGCCCTTGTTCTTCTAGATGGAAGTGGTCATGGGTTTGGATGGTGTTGTCTGAGGATCTTTGATGATTTTCTGCAGTGCCATCCTGTAGGCAGCATACACTGCTGCTACTACTAAGCGTCAGTGTTGGAGGGAATGGATGCTTCTGGATGTCGTGCCAATCAAGCGGGCTGCTTTGACCTGGATGGTGTCAAACTTCTTGAGTGTTGTTGGAGCTGCACTCATCCAAGAAAATGGGATGTGTTCAATCACACTCTTGACTTGTGCCTTGTAGACGGCGGGACAGGTTTTGATGTGTCCAGATGTGAGTTACTGATTGCAGTACTCCTAGGCTCTGACCTGATCTTGTAGCCCCTGTGTTTATGTTGTAAGTCCAGTTGAGTTTCTGATTAATGATAATCCCCAGAATGTTGATAGTGGGGGATTCAATGATGGTAACACCAATGAATGTCATGGGGCGGGTGTGGTTAGATTGTCTCTTATTGGTGATGGTCATAGCCTGGCATTTCTGTGGCGCAAATGTCACTTGCCACTTGTCAGCCCAACCTGGATATTGTCCAGATCTTGTTGCATGTGGACATGGACTGCTTCAGTATCTGAGGAGTCACGAATGGTGCTGAACACTGTGCCATCATCAGCGAACATCCCCACTTCTGACATTATAATGGAGGGAAGGCCATTGATGAAGCAGCTGAAGATGGTTGGGCCTAGGACACTACCCCGAGGAACTCCTGCAGAGATGTTCTGGAGCTGAGATGACTGACCTCCAAAAACCTCGACCACCTTCCTAGGTGTCAGGTTTGACTCCAACCACCTGAGAAATTGCCCCGATACCCACTGATTCCAGTTTTGCTAGGACTCCTTGAATCCACACTCCGTTAAATGCGGCCTTGATGTCATGGGCTGTCACTTTCACCTCACATCTGGAATTCAGCTCTTTAGTCCATGTTTGAACCAGGGCTGTAATGAGGTTAGGAGCTGAGTGGCCCTGGCAGAATCCAAACTGAGTTTCAGTGAGCAGGTTGTTACTGAGCAAGTGCTGCTTGATAACACTGTTGATGACACCTTCCATCACTTTACTGATGATCAAGAGTAAACTGATGGGGTGTTAAGTGGCTGGGTTGGATTCGTCCTGCATTTTATGTAAACGGTCTATTATATGATAGAGTCATAGAGCTGTACAGCACAGAAACAGACCTTTCGGTCCAACTCGTACATGCTGACCAGATATCCTAAATTAACCAAGTCCCATTTGCCAGCATGTGGCCCACATTCCTCTAAACCCTTGCTATTCATGTACCGATCCAGATACTCTTTAAATGCTGTAATTGTACCAGCCTCCACCACTTCCTCTGGCAGCTCATTCCATACACACATCACACTCTGCATGAAGAAGTTGCCCCTTAGGTCCCATCTATATCTTTCCCCTCTCACCTTAAACCTATGCCCTCTAGTTTTGGACTCTCCTACCTGGGAAAAAGACCTTGGCTATTCATGCTCCTCATGATTTTATAAATCTCTATCTTTTATAACATATTCTAACATCTTTCCAGTGACCGATATTGAGTTTTTCTCAGTTAAATTTTATCTCCTTCTCTTTTTAAATATGGTAAATGGTCCCATCTGACCTCAACATCCAGTCTCAACGCTGAAAGTCACTCATTTTAGGCCCGTGCTCTAAAACAGGGTCTAAAATATAAATCAATCCAATGAAGCAAATAAAAATCTAAACTACTATATCCTGACAATCTAAATAAAGTTGAGAATATTTTGCCACTCTAAACAGTCTCACTCAGGTGTGGTTAATTTCCCATTAGCGAGTGCAAAATTTCACTATAAACTATGCTGGAAATTTAGCAGAATCCAGCAACATACAAACCGTCCTTATCATGAGAGATTAAATCCCCCAACTGATCCAATTCTGTCTGGTCACAGCAATTAGTCTGCTCCCTTATACTTAAGGAAGAGAATATGCTTACATTGTAAAACAGCCCTCAAGATTATCCAACTCATTGGGAACACCACTTCTAGTGTTTAAAAATTGAAATCTTATACTTCAAGTTGTTTTGTTGGGTTCACTCAGAATGTGATGGATTTTTTTTTTTACGGATTCAAAAATTGTTAAGCTGCAGCCAAAATTCCTACTGAACTAGGTCTCATCAAGTACACAGAGCAGCTTTGGAAAGACAAGCAGATGTAAAATCACACTGATTGTTCAAAAGGAAAGAATAAAAGAACAAGAACAGCTGGACCTATTGAGTGTGCACACTCATTTTCTGAGGCATACAGTGCAATTCAAGTGGATATTTTGATTGTCATAGATGTTGCTATTAAAATACCACTGTTGATGAAAAGACTTACAAGATGGCTTGACCAATATCCGACCCTTAACCAATGTACCAAAAATAAACTTAACTGGTCACTTGATTTCATGTGGGATCCCATTTCTCATGAAATTGCTACCACATTTTCTCTCAATGACCAACCAGAAGGTGATGAAAATATTCCCTTTCAGAGCGCATGAAATGCCCTGACAAGTATAAACTCACCTGCCACATACATTTAAAGCATTCAAAGTTTTTGAGAAGATTTGTAGTTTGGGTTGTGGATGAGGTTGTAGACTTGCTCGCTGAGCCTTGTTGTGGTCTGTCGCAG